GCGGGGTCCCCGTCGAGGCCAATCGCGGCGCGAGGGCGGGGCCTCCTCCCCTGGGGGCCGGGGCGGGGCCCGGCCACGGGCTGGACGGAGAGTTTGACAGGCGGCGGCCGGCTGCAGTCCAGAGTTGCATGAGGCTCTCGGGCAGCCAAGCGGAGCAGTCCCGCGGGGCGGCGCCGCGGGCGAGAGAGGCTGGGCACGGTCGCCCGACTTCGGCCGGCCGACTCGGCAGAGCGCACTGGTGGTGAGGAGAGCCCGGCTCAACCCGCCTCTGTCCCCGCCTCTCCCGGTGGCCTCAGCCAGGATCCTTCCTCTCTACAGGTCCGTTTTCTCTTCGGTCAGATAGGAACGGCAATACCTTCTGACGCGGAGGTAATAGATGTGAAAGTGATTGAGAAGTTTTGTTGCAGAATCCAACTTGCTCACTCGAGAACTCGTACAGATTTCACAGCGAGTCAAATTTGGGACCTGAACCCAGCCAGGCCTCTCAGCCCGCTTTCCTTACGTTTTTGTGGGAAGTGTTTTCCATCAGAAAGCGTGCAGGCCAGAGGGTCTCAGACTCCAAAAACAAACGAACAAACCCGTTGCCAAGGAGTTGATGCCGACTCTTAGCGACCCTATAGGACAGAGTAGAACTGCCCCTTAGAATTTCCAAGGAGCAGCTTGTGGATTCGAACTGCTGACCTTTTGGTTAGCAGCCTGAGCTCTTAACCACTGCGCCACCAGTGTTTCTCAAACTCCCAAGTGCAAGTTAAAAAAAAAGGGGGAGGAGGAGGAATGCCCGGATCCCTAGCAGAGACTATTTCAGTTTAGTGTGTCTGGGGAATAGGTCCCCAGCGCCTAGATTTTTAGTGCCCTCCTGGGAGATCCTTCCCACTCTAGGAGTTGAGACGCACTCGTCTAAGGTATCCAGGGCCTGTATCCGGTTCCCCTGCCTTCTAGACTTCCCCACACATACTGTCTCAGCAGGCCTTGCCTGATGTGTAGAACAAGCACTGGACAAGGAGCAGTAAGTCTTCACAGGGACTAAGCTTCAGTTTCCCTTGTGTAAAATGGGGTGTTCACCCCTGCCTGCCCTACCTGCCAGGGCTAATGAAGGATCCAGCCAGGCTCCTGAGATGGTCTCTGCGGTTCATCCCCACTTGTTTCCTCTGCGCTGTTTTGGGGTGATCTGGGCTGACTCCAAGGGTCCTGCCTGGCTTCACACCCTCTAAAGGGAGGGATCTGATCTCTTTGGCCTTGATCTCAAATTGAAAAACGTGTATTGAGCCCCTTTCTACTACCACAACAGGTCAGGAGTCACATAGGATGCCGCACAGAGCAAGACACCCTGAGTAGCATTCCCAGAATCTTGGAAACCCAGGATTTTAGAATCACAAAATCATAAAATTCTATTTCCTACAATTTATTAGGAGCCCTGGTGGTGCTGTGGTTAAGCGTTCGGCTGCTGACCAAAAGTTCGGCAGTTCAAATCCACCATCCGCTCCTTGGAAACTCTATGGTGCAGTTCTACTCAGTCCTGTAGGGTCACTGTGAGTCAGAATCAACTCGACCACAATGGGTTTGGTTTGATTTTTTTTATCCTTACTTTCAGAGAGGAGGGATGTGACTGGCCCACAGACCTGTGGTGGGGTGTGGCAGGCTTCCTGACTTCTAGTCCAGTGCTCTTCCTCCTATACCAACAACACTGCCTCTAATAGGTATAGGATGTTAACCCTGCCTATAACATACAGGCTAAGGGCTGCATAAAAAAAAAACCCATTGCTGTTGAGTCTGACTTATAGCGACACTATAGGACAGCGTAGAACTGCCCCATAGGGTTTCCAAGGAGTGGCTGGTGGATTCGAACTGCCTACCTTTTGGTTAGCAGCCAAATGCTTAACCACTGTGCCACCAGGTCTCCAAGGGCTGCATAGGGTGTCTCAAAGGTTTTGGAGTTGGGGATTGTTGATGCTTTTATGGTCAGAGTGGAACGGGTAGAAACGGGCAAGAGTGGCTCACCAACCCTCCAGTGCACATCTGCCTCACTCTCTGTAGTTCCAGTGCTGGCTCTGCTCCCATCAGACCATGTGACTTTAGGGAACCATAACCCTGCTCTGGACCTCAGTTTCCCCCACAAAAAGCAAGAGGCTTGGAAGAGGGGTATCTCTGGGCCTTTTCAGTTCTGCCCTTCAGTGATGCCAGGGAATGAAAAACTCATCCACCTTTCCTTTCCCACCACACACACAGAGATACACACACTCAGAGGCACATACACAGCATTGAACATTTAGTTGGGACACAGAAAACATTTGCTCTTGAGTAAGTCACTTAACCAACTGGACTCACAGGCAAAGGGTCTCCAAATTTCCAAGATGCAGCAACAGCTCATTCAGTTTTCTTTACTGAGAACGTACCCTAGGTCAGCCCACAAGCCTGACCTAGGGACACAGGGATCCATCAGGCCTGTCCCTCCCTCAGTGAACTCACAACTCCACCCCGCCAGGACAGATGTGTTTGTGGAGCCTGGCAAAGCAATGAGAAGGTTAATCTGCTCAATAAAACAGACCTCTTAAACACTGTATATGGCAGGACTCCTTTGGGGATATACAGAATCCAGTGAGTATATGCATTGTTTTTCCTAGCGGAAACACAAGAAACTGTTAACAGTGGTTCAGGGAACAGGAGAATGCAGGGAGGCCCGCACTCTTCATTTTTATACCTTTCTGAACTGTTTACATTTTCTAACAATATATATTACCCTCCACCCTTTCAGCAAGGATTATTTGAGCAGTGGGATTATGAGCTATATTTTGTTTTCCTTTATGCTCTCAGTATTCAAATACAATTCTTTAATATTGTAATTGTCAAGAACAAAACAAAGGAAAACAAAGACTGCTTCTCACTTTAGCAGCCCAGATGATAATGTGCTTTTTACACTAACCCATGTTTCCAACTCAAACTCTCTTTTGCACTCAAGTCCCACATATTAACTACTAGATATCTCCATCTGAATCCACCTGCAAAAGCAAACATCATTTTCTTCTTTGACTTTGCTTCTCACTCCTATGTCTCTATATGGATAAATGGTCCCATGACCAAGTACCCCAAGTCAGAAATTTGGGAGTCATCCTGGACCCCTCCCCTACCGCACTCCCATATCTGATTTGACATAAATCCACCTAACAGTCCTCCTCCTCTCCATCCTCACTACCACATTTCTTCCCAGCTCTCACAAATGTCTGTAACAGTCTCTCAATTCTTCTTTCTGCCTCCACCCTCATCCTTTTCCCAGTCATCCCTCTTCCACACTGATCTCTCCATCAATCTTTCTAAAATATAGATCTGACCATGTCATGTGCCTGCTTAATCCTTTCAGGATCCATGGGATATATAGTTACCCACCCACTTTTTCCAGCTCTCAGGTTTTTTGGGAAGCCACTTTTCCAATGACAGTGCCTGATGCTGCAATGCAGGGGCCTTTATGACTGTTTGAAACCAAAAAAAACAAGCATGTGCCACAAATTACTGTTTCTACAGGGTGTTGTATGAGGTGTGTGCATTTTGGGTAGGAAAAATAGGAAATTTTTATGTGGGAACACGTGTCCCAGTGGCCTCTGGTGGGACTCTGTGATTTTCAGGATTTGAATAGTGGGACAATGTATTGTCCCACTAATCTCTGAGGGTAGACTTGTGGGGGGGGCAAGAAAAAAACTCCATGCTACCTACCAAAAATTCAGACACACTCAATGATTCAGCATGCTTCCATTAAAGAAAA